GGGGGGGTAGTTGAGCCGGGTTTTAAGAAAATGGGCGGGATGGGGGTGGGGGGGGCTGTGCATTTGTGTGTGTGTGTGTGTGCAGGGAGAGGGGGGGGGGGCGGAGCTGCAGACACTACCCCCCGCCCTCGCTCCTCTCTGTGCCCCTCGCAATTACCTGTTTCACCAGAATTGACGCGAGCGCGAGTTGGCGAGCACATGCCACGTTGAGAGAAACTGAGCTGAACTGCATTTGTGTTTCTTCCTGCGCTCGCAAGGACCGATTCCATCTGATCCACCTTTCAAATTCAAGAGAAAGAAACTCCAGCAGGTGACCAACAAACCTCTGAAGACCCACACCAGCCGCTGAGGATCTGAGACACTCCGCAAGGATGCACTTGTTGTCCGCCAGCCGCGTGTACGCCCTCCTCATCACCGCGCTGCTCCACCGAGGTAAGCCAGTCTTCATCCACCGGCCAGCGGTGCGCTCCATGCGCCGTGCTCCCCGGCCACTGGAGCCGCAGGTACCCGGGGGTGAAAAGTCCCATCTGTCGCACGCAGGTGCCTCCATAAAAACTTCATGCCGGGTTTTCGCCACCTCTCTGGGTGAAAAGTAGAGCAGGGGCGTCGCTGTTTTTTTTTCACACTTATAAGTTAGTAAACTGAAATATATACTTTCTACTGTTGCTCATATAATGTGGATCGTTTAAACGCTAAATCACATAAATAGAAATACAAATTTCCCTCCCTTTCTTAAAAAAATTCAACAAAATCATTCGTTCATGTTTTCTGTCTCATCTTATAAACAATATAATACGCATTCACTTCCCTCCTTGTGATAAATTATCAAAAGAATCTGCCATGAATTCATTCTAAAGAAAATCCACTGAAATAGACCAAACAGTAAGTGGACCAGAAGTCCACTCTCCTCCACTAAAGGTTTATTGTTCCATTAATGTGATCAATTCTTGCTCATACCTCTGAAAAGTGACTTTTCTGTCTATAAACTGCTCATGTGAGACACCAGGTTTGGTCCATTGTGCTACCCCCTCTCTTTTTTACCCCTCACAAGATGGGTGAGGCAGTGAGGCATCATCACCCAGTCTTCACATGCGCTCATGCCATGATGTCATCATGATGCCCCTCATTTTTTTATGTGCTTCCCCCCCTCCTGTTAATGCAGGCTGTGGAGCAGAATGATGCTGCTGTGCACATCCTGTCTGATTTATTGTAATTATGGGCTGCCTGTTGGGTGGGGAAAGCGCTTCTGACAGGCTCCCTCTTGTAATTACACGTTGGATGAGAGTCATTTTTTGATGTGGGCAGTTGTAATGGTTTGTACAAGTGAATGCTTCCAAGTTCTTGCAAAGACCTGTGGTTCTCTGGTCTATGATGTGTGCAGCAGCTTGGCATTAAGTAGTGATGTAAAAATACACTCTGAAAAACAGATGGTGGCTGTCTGAAAAACTTGAAACAAGAGCAAAGCATGCTCTTTTTTTAAGTTGTCTTAATTTTGCTCTTTAATGCAGAGACACTGAAGCCCTTCTGCGGTTTCCTTTTTGTCTGCTTCCCCAGGCCAACAGGTACCAGCGCCATGTGCTCACATCACTCAGCCAGGCCATTAAGCAAAGCTGTAGCTCAGAGTGCTCCCTTGGATAGGAAAGGGGCGGAGAGGTTGATCTCACTGTACTCCCTTCCACCATGTCACACTACAGTGGCGCCTGTTGTTGTAAATTAACACCATGCAGCACCTATCAGTCAGGCGCAGGTGGTTTATTTGAGAGGAAACGAAGGGTCCTTTTAAGGTGTTTTTACGCCACTGTGCTGCTGCAGTGCCGTGTACTTGAGAGCAGAGGAGAGGGCATTGAGTCTGTGTTGAGGTTCAGACTTTATGGTTGCCCACAGTGCTGTTTGTTTAGCAGACGTGCTGCCTTAGGTGATGGTCGAAACGTGTGCTCACAACAGATGGTCAGACAAAGATGTACAAGAAGTGAGCCTTGTGAAGTTCTTTTGAGTTACAAGAAAACACAAATAGTCCTTGTTCTTTGCCAATTTTCTCAATATGGGAAAGAAAAACCGACTGAAGAGGTTTTGTTGAGTTTTAGATTTGCAATAAAAACTGCATCGATACTCGTAATAAAAGTAGGCCGGTGTTTATTATATCTGAACAGATGAAAAAGCAACAGCCCCAGGGGCTCCAGTGTTAAGGCTGAGCCGAGGCCACAGTCAGAGAAAACAGAAAAACAGAGGTCTGAACTAGTCTAAGAACAAACAGTCTGGAAAGATGCGTCTGTTTTTTTGTTCACTCCCTTGTCTCCACCCTTCCCCCACCACCACCACCCGCACCGCCCCTCCTGAACAGACACACTGCGCTCGGTGTCACAGCTGGTATTACTTGTCAAGCAAGTGGGGCTCTCCCTTTTGCTAATGGGCTAATCTCCTGCCTGGGTCACCCAATTTCACCTGAGAGAGATTCACTCTCATCTCTATCATCTTAAACTAGGTTATGTTCAGGCTTGTCTCATTAAGTATGTGCTGCTAATGCACAGGAACAAGAAAGAGCTGCTGTAATTGTATGTTTGGGTGATATCTAAGATTTTGTACCACTGTGTATTTGAGTGCTGGTGCGTGTCCCGTCTTGCTTAAAGCAGGTTTTCTCTTGATGTTTGAAGACTGCTTGTGGTTGTTACCTCTTTGAAGAGAGATTTCTTTGTGACTGGCACAGTGTTGTATCCCTTCATGCAAAATTCAGTTGCAGCCATGAGAAGTATGGCAACTCAACTGAAACATGGCTTTGAATGGAAATGCTGCATCTGTACTTAACTTTGCGCCATCGCTTTAATACCTCCCCTCCCGAGAGACTTTATGTGTGTGCGTTCATCAAATTTTGAAAAACGGCTAGTTCGCAAACTGCAGAATGCAGTCGATTTTTGAGTAAGGGGATGAAAACATGAGGAAAGAGGAGAAGCTGCAGTCTTTAAATAATTAAGTTCAACCTCAAAACACATGTAATCTGACTGACAATGTCTGAAACAAATGAACAAATCCCATCCTAATCCAAAGCTCCTCTCATTCTTTTACATCAGGAGTGCCTAAAATGGCCTCAAAGGTGACATCTATGTGTGTCATTATCCTACCGGATGTTCAGCCCTAATTCGGCAGATCATAATATCTCTGAAAAGGCTCCCTCAGTCCTCTGTTATGAGCGAAACTATGAGGTGGATTCTTCTTTAGTATTACACAGATTGTTTCCTTGTGTGTCTGTGAGAAACGACCTCAGTATTGGACAGAAAGAGAGACAGATGCCATCACTCAACCGAGAATCAAATAGCGAGCGGGATGTAAGAAAGAAGCAGATGTTGGGTAAGGAGGATTAAGTTTGCATGTGCTCGTTTGTGTGCATTATCGGCTCCTCGGGCCTCGATTGGAATAACAAGTGAGCAGTAATGTGAGTAGACGGGTAGAGGTGCCGCTGATTGAACGACAGAAAGGGGGACACTTTTGTGGGCTCCTTAGACGAGAGCGGGCCGCTCAGGCAGCCGAGCAGCAGAGGTTGTACTGTAAATTAAGGCAACATTAGGGTGGGGTAGCCCAGTGTCACTTCCCATCAGGGGGTGCAGAATTCCTCCCAGTGCCCCTGGAAGCAGCAGCACTTTAAAGCCAAGATGTGGGAATCAAGCTTAATTAACTATAACATTATAACTTTAGCTTTTAATTACAACAAAGAAAAAATAGAGATGGTATTTGTGGGTGATGTAAACCTAAAATAAATAAATAACCTCAAGTTATGACGAAATTAAAACATGGCCATTACATAATCTGTTATGCAGCACAAAAAGAGCAAAGAGTGGGTTTAGTGCAAATCTGGCATTTGGGAAATATTTATACAAGAGTCAATCATTAAACTGCTTTACATCTTTACAGTTTCTAAAAAAGACAGCAGGCCAATGCATCAGCTTGTCCCCAGAGACATGATGCTTATAACATATGTGTATTTATACCATATGGTGTGGTGCCCCTCATACAGTAGACCTTAAATTAAATGTAGATTAATCAGTCGTCTGACAATTTGCAAATAAGGAGCACAACAGCACACTTCCATTAAACTGTAATTCTGATGTAACTTTGTTTAATATAGATAAGCATTACTGATTTCTTTCTTCTTTTGTTTGCCCTGCACCCATCACACAGTGGGCTCACCATCCACCCACCCACTACCCCCACCGCTACATACTCTCCCGGTTTCTCTCCACCCCCGGCAGATCTCTGAACAGGTGGAGGAGTGTTGGTTTTTAGGGCCGTGCAGGGGGCAAGCCTCTCTTTATGGCTCCTGTTTGTTAGTGCAGTTGTTGAAAGAAAAGCTGTGTTCCCATCATTCACAGCTAAATTATTTTACTTTAATATTTGATTAAAATTTAAAGAGGTTTGTTTTTGTAAAGCACTAAAACAGTGCTTGGTTATCAGATATATATATTTTGGGGGATTTCTTCCAATGTCTCACCAATGAACCAAACTCCACCTTTAGATTGGATGTAGTGGGACAGCAGTGAAGAAATATGAGCCACCACAGGAACATGCTGAGTTTCCTCCACGTCGGAGGGAGCAATTCTAGTACTGTTGGCTCACTGACTGGGGAGATGTATGAGTGGCTTCACCTTTAGAAAATGAAAGGACTTGTGTGGCAAAAGTAATCACTCTCAGGCAATGACTCAATGAGAAAAGGGTCTTTTGTTTGCCTTTGACGGTTTTACACACAGAATTATCAGTAAAACAGCAGCAAGTGAATCTTAATTACACTTTGGTGATTGGCTTGTCCCACTTTAAGACCTGGAGTGTGAGGTATATTCAGTTTTTTTAATCTCTGCTCAAACTACCCTGTCAGCTCTCCATTCTTTCTTGGTAATTTGCCCTGCAGGTTGAATTTATCCCTGTAATGACTTTTTGCGCATGCTGTTTTGCAGTTTATTTATACTGAGGTGAGGCCGTTTTAAACAGACGAAGGCTTTAGAATGTGTTACCAAACATCTCCCTCGTCTGTTTCTCGCTTTCCTCATTTTGCACACAGGTTCCTCGCTCCGCTGTGCAAAATAATGGTTTATTTGTTATCCAAAGGGGAGGGACCAGAGTGCTATTGTTTCAGCCATAAAGAAAGGCTTAACAACAGGAGAGAGAGATGACTGTGCTATGCAGTCGTGCTTCTTTCTTTATGCAGGAATACCCCCATTGAAATGCATGAAGGTATCCTTGGTTTTGGTGAAAGACCAACGGCACTCTGAAATTGGGCAGCCCTTGTTTCAGGGACAAAAAAGTGAGGTTGTTTCTGTCTTTTGTCATTGACGCAGCCCCCGGCTTTCACTGCTCTCCTGTGGACTCCCGCCGACTACATTGTGAGGAAGGCTCTTTTTAAACAAATGAATGTATGATAGTGACTTCTTGCTCCCGCTCCTCTCTTT